ATATGTGTGTGTGTGTATATATATATATATATATATATATATATAAACTCCTACTTACTACTTGTACTACTATTCCTACTTCATGGTTTTTCACTTATTGCGGGGCTTCAGGGTAAAGATCCCCCGCGATAAACGAGGGACTACTGTATATAAACTAGTTAAAAATGCTAAGGCTCTCAGAGACTTTAATGACAAGCTCTAAAAATAAAAAATTATGTGAATCTCAGCAGAAGGGAATGGACTTACCAGAGGGCCGATTTTTCCAACATTTCCCGTGTCTCCTTTCTCTCCCTGCAAGCAGTAAACATGAAAGCAACGTAAAGATTAGCTCCTGTTAATAAAGAGGTTTATCACAATCCTTTTGCGCACAGGAAATCAAGTTTTCAAAGGAACATACACACATGCTCACACGTGCACACAGCCTACACAAGGCTGTGAATAATTTTGTGTTCCATGCTGGCAAGAAGGAAATCGTTTTCTCCCTTAATTAAGGCCATCTCTAAAACACTGGCTGGGGTTTTAATGGGGTACAATTCTTAAAACACTAGTTTACTATAAGCCAAAAAATATATTGTTTAGAGAGAAAATCCCGGAAATGTTTGATAATATTGTAATAAAAGTACTTTTGTGAGTGAGTTCAAAAGCCAGTTAGTGCTCTGCTACTGATTAACCCACAGATGTGGCACAAAAATAACAGAGTACAACCAGCAAGGGCATGATAATTCAGTGAAATAAACTTTTACAGCTGGCTGTGTGGCTGATGTGACACCGAGGTAGATTGGTTGTTGTCTCAACCTAAAACTGTGGTTTTATTTCCTCAAAATGTCAGTGTTCTTATAGGCAAGATGGCCTCAATGTGCTTGTTGCTTCTGCCATTTCCTCACCAATTAATGTTGGATAGGTGCTATTAAAAGATAACACAAGTGAAGCAGGTACAAAGTAATTCCAACTTTTTTTTAGAATAATCAAGGTATTTCATCTGAACCAATCAGATCAAATGGAATTTAATAATAAAAAAGTCTCATACAAAAGGAATGAGAATGAATGACTGAAGATCAGTATGACATCAAACTCACCGTTAAACCCTCAAGGCCAGGTTCACCTGGGTGACCTTTCTTTCCATGTCTCCCCTACAAAAAGGTAATAATTAAAAGATAGTGAGATGTATTTTTTTTAATTTCTCATCAACTATTTTCTTACAAAACGTCTACATAAGTTTCAACTGCAATAAAAAGTGTGTTTGTATATATTCAAGTGGTGAATATGGAAGTTCTTACAGTAGAGCCAATGCTGCCAGGTGGCCCGAGCGGTCCTTCATCACCCTGCAGAAGCATGACACAATTAAACCATACACAATTCCATTTTCTTTAGCTAAACACACAGTATGCCATGTGTGTGTTACAAAACAATACAGGGAATTTACCATGTCCAGATAATTGATATACACACAACTTCCTGTCTACAGTGACAAAATAAGCTCATAATAGTTAGGAGATGGGTAATGATGACAACTTAGGCAAACAAAGTAGTTTTTCTGTTACTATCTATAAGTACAGGCAGAAACATGAGGGATGGTTAAAAAAAATAAGCTTTTCTTAAGTAAAAGCCTCTGCAACATCTGTTAACTATGTTTAAACACACTTCTCAACCAACATATCACTCTGCTCTCAAACCACATGTGACTGGTTTTCCTAACTATCAAAGAAAGTCAAACTGATAAAAGTAAACTATACATAAAGTCAATCAAAACAAGTATAAAAGTTTGTATAGTAAAATCAGAGAGCTTTGCCCCGAATTGATTTAAAATGTATCAAATCAGAAGTGAATGGTAAATGTGCTGCACTTATATAGTGCCTTTCTAAATAATGAAGATACTCAAAGTGTTTTACAACACATGTGCCCTCTTTTACCCATTCATACAACACTCTAATATTTCTGTACAAAGAATAATCAGTGCTTTATCACATTCATACACTGATGGGACACACATCGGAGGAAATGAGGGGTTCAGTGTCTTGCCCAGGGACACTTCGGCATGTGACTGCTAGTAGACTCAAACCTCCAACTCTTGCATTGGAGGATGACTGCGCTAACCACTCAACCATAGCTGCCCTTAAGTGAAATAAAACACATTTTGATTGTAATTATTCTGCGTAGTTTTCATTTCCTGAGAATATTTTGTTGTGAACTGGTGCGTTAATAATGAGCTGAACTGGCACCGTATTACTGACTGACTTCATGAATTGTATTTTTAAGCTACTTTGCCTGATTTCAAACTGAGCTGTGTGCGTGTAGAATATATGTGTCAACTCAATGAAGCTTTTCAGAGAACACAAACTACTGTGCGTGCTGTATATCTTCCAAAAGCTATCGCTTCTTTTTTCCAGGTCTGAAAGAATACTCTTGTTTTTATAAGAATCCAACATTACATCATAACATCACCTGGTGGAACATGCCTCACGGTGAAAAGGAAAAAAAAAAATCTTCCCGACACATTTAAGCTGCAACTGTTTAAGATAGGACTAGTTCCTAAATAAAAGGCATCAATTTAATCAGGCTTGCCTTTGTATATTGTTCACAAAAATCCCTTCATGAGACACATTTTCCATGCCTCTGCAACAGTCTAACAAGAACCAGAAAGACATACAGTATGGTGTAAAAATGTCATGAATTAAATAGTGTAGGTGTTAAATGATCTCACCTGTGGTCCTTTAGGCCCTGGAGGACCTTGGGGCCCTCTTGCACCCTGCATACCCTGAAACACAGCCAGATACCAAATTCAATAGGATGAACTAAATGTATGTGTTAGTGGATGATCAGAGAAAAAGCTGCTACCTTTGGTCCAGGTGGGCCATTGGGCCCTGGTGCTCCGATGTCCCCAGGAAACCCCTTGAAAAATAGAAGAAAATGTATTATTATTGAATACCATATTTTCCGGACTATAAGCCGCTATTTTTTTCATACACTTTGAACACTGCAGCTTAAATAATGATGCAGCTTATTTATGGATTTTTACGTGCTAACGAGCTTCATGCCACCAAAACGTTTAGCCTCATCACATCAGACCAATGAAATTACCTAACAGATCACAGTGGACCATTGAAACTGCTCAAATTAAATAATACGCACTCACACTAAATTCTTCAGATAAGTCATTTTGCTCAAGAGAGACAGAGGAAGTGTGTGTTGAAGTAATTCTGAAGCTGTTCAATTCCGACACTAAAGAAGACGACTTTAGTGGTTTTGATGCGCAGGAGGAAGATGAAGAAAACACTCAAGGACTTTTCCTGGTAGGCTACTGTATTTATTATTATTTTAGCCAGCCGTGTTACAGGTAACACGGCTGGCTAAAATAATAATAAACAGTACCTGTACTGTTTGCAAAATAGCATTTACAGTTCATATTTGTGTATGTTACCAGTACGTATTTAATTAAAAGTAAAAAAATAAAAAATTCTGTGTAAATATCTCATGTTACAACGTGGACACCTGCAGCTTATAGACAAGTGTTGCCTATATACCATCCATCCATCCATCCATAATCTTTTACATGCTTTTTCCAATTTGGGTCATGGGGGTCGCTGGTGCCCATGTCCAGCAATCATTGTGCGAGGGGCGGGGTACACCCTGGACAGGTCGCAAGTCAACCACAGGGCCACATAGAGACAAACGAGACAAACAACCATTCACTCTCTCACCCACACCTAGGGACAATTTAGAGTTACCAATCAAACTAACATGCATGTTTTTGGTCTGTGGGAGGAAACCGGAGTACCCAGAGAAAACCCATGCATTCACAGAGAGAACATGCAAACTTCACCCAGAGAGGCCCCCGGACCGGGATTTGAACCAGGGACCTGCGCGCTGAGAGGCAGCAGCTCTACCAGTTGCACCACCGTGCTGCCTATATACCTACTAATATTTTTATTTTTAAAGTTAGTCGCTGTGGCTTATTTTCAGGTGTGCTCAATAGTCCGAACGTTATGGTGTTAGCACTTTGTTAGATTCAAAAAACGTTCAACACAAAAACAACTGGACTTTATTTGTAACAGAAGACGTTTCGCTCCTCATCCGAGGAGCTTTCTCAATTCAAAGAGCAGTGAGTGAGGGGTTTAGGTTATAAGGCTAAGTGAGATAAGACACACATACATATGTAGATTTGACAATTCACACCTCAGCACCTTAACAGTAGGGGTTTCTTAAGGTCTTTGTTACTCTAATTCACAGATGAGGCCCCTCTGTTCCCATCAGGTGTGAAAACCGGCTGGGAATCTGTCTTAAAGTTGCATTATATGTTTTTGAAAGTGGAAATCTGAGGCCTCCTCCTCTATTAAGAGATGTTTTTTTCTCTTTTTACATAAATTGCTTCCTTCACCTCCCTCTCAAACCATCTGTGTTCTCGGTCCAAAATGTGCACATTTTGGTCCTCAAAAGAGTGTCCCTTATCTGTGAGGTGGAGGTGAACAGCAGAATATTGTCCTGAGGAGGTGGCTCTTCTGTGTTGAGCCATGCATCTGTGAAGAGGCTGTTTTGTTTCCCCAATATAGAGGTCTGGACAGTCCTCGCTGCACTGGACCGCATACACTTCACCACTCTGTTTGTGTATGGGTGTTTTGTCCTTAGGGTGGACTAGCCTCTGTCTGAGAGTCCTGCTGGGTTTGAAATGTACTGGGATGTTGTGTTTGTTGTAAATCCTTCTGAATTTCTCTGATACTCCAGCAACATAAGGGATGACAATGTTTTTACGTCTGTTGTTCTCCTTTTTCTGTTTATTAGTGTGTTTTGTAGATTTCCTCACTGACTTGACAAAAGCCCAGTTAGGATATCCACATATTTGGAGAGCTTCTTGAATGTGTTTCTGTTCCTTTTCCTTCCCTTCTGTCTTTGTGGGGACGCGTTCGGCCCGATGCTGTAACATTCTGACGACAGAGAGTTTGTGTTCCAGTGGATGGTGGGAGTCAAACAGAAGATACTGGTCTGTGTGGGTTGGTTTTCTGTAAACTTCAATGTTGAGGCTGTCCTCTCTTTCCATCTGAACCAAACAGTCCAAAAAAAGCAGCTTGTTGTCATTTGCATCCTCTCTGGTGAACTTGGTGTTATCTACCAAGTTAATGTGTCTGGTGAACGCTTCTATTTCCTTGGCTTGGATTTTGTCCCAGGTGTCATCCACATATCGGAACCAATGGCTTGGCATTGTTCCCTCATAGGAGTTTAGGGCTCTCTGTTCCACTTCCTCCATGTAGAGATTGGCAACAATGGGTGACTGGAGATCCCATGGCACAGCCGTGCTTCTGTCTGCAAAAACTGTCATTGAACTTAAAATAAGTGGTGGAGAGGCAGAGATCCATCAGGGTGCAGATCTGGTCCAGGGTGAAGTTGGTCCTGTTGATTAAGTCCTTGTCTTGTAGAAGTTGTTTTCTGACGGTTTCTACTGCTTCAGAGATGGGTATACAAGTGAAAAGAAAAGTCACATCATACGATACAAGGGTTTCTCCTGGGGTTAGTTTCAAATGTTGAATTTTGTTAGCAAAATCAATGGAGTTATTTATGTGATGATGTGTGTTTCCAACAAGAGGAGCTAAAATACCAGCCAGATGTTTAGCAATATTGTATGTCACTGAGTTCATGCTGCTGACGATGGGTCTGAGTGGTGTTCCTTCTTTGTGTATTTTTGGAAGTCCATAAAGACAGGGAATGACTTCCCCTGTGTACAACCTATCATGTCCTGGATGACTGAGAATCTTCACCAGCACACTTTGTTCGATGTATTTTGACCAAAATATAGGATGGTTTTAATATAACCCCACTCGTACTGAGGTACCACTGCAGCACCTCATTTAAAAGCTTGTGAAAGCTGGTATTAAAACACACACAAGAGAGGAATATATCTTAAACGCAGGTTTTCAGAAAATTAAAGTAAGAATAGTGATTGATGCATTACTACAGAAGGTTCAAGGTTCTTTATTGTCATTCGCATCACATGTGGTACATGAGGTGGAACAAAATTGTGAACTCAAGATCCCAGTTACACCCAAAGATAGCAAAAATATAAAGTATAAAATGAAACAGTATAAAATGATCTAAGCTATACTAGGGCTGAACTATAACTCAGTATTGATATATCTCACAATATATTTTTATTCAATAACGGTGATATGAGTTTTTAAGCACATTTTTGATATTTAGATTTTTTTTTTTTTTCATTTACCCTTTATTTACACAGGTAGTCTCATTGAGCCACAATAACTCATTTTCAAGAGAGACCTGTTTAGGGAGCAGATGGGGAGTTAAGGGCCTTGCTCATGAGCCCAGAGTGGGGCGAATGAGGGTAGGGGCAAATGTGGGCGCTTCACCTACCCCACCCACATTTTTTTTTTTTTTTATGTTGTGGTACCGGGGCATGAACCGGCGATCTTCCGATCACAGGCCCACCTCTCGAACCTCTGCACTACCACTCCCCAGATATGATTACAGCGTTTCACTGACGCATTTATTTTTCTGTTCGGGTTGAAGCGCCCTTCAACCCTAACAAAAAAAGCTGCGATACATAACTACGTAAGTGCATGGTGATGTAGATGTTATGCAGAGCTCAGTCCAGAAGGAGTCAGCAGCAGTAGCAGGCTAGGCTAAGCTAAGCTCCAATGCGCTGTATGTTTTTGCTTCAAAATGAGTGCCTATGGCCGTCAGAATGTGACTGAACATGCTTTCACAAGCAAAGAGAAATTAGATGACATAATTGATAAGAAAGGAAAGACTAATTCGGCAGTGTAGAAGTGGTTTGACTATCTAAGGTCCGATAATCTGCAGGTTTCAGTATGCTACAAAATGTGACTGAGGGGCCGTTTACATGGCGCCTATTTTGAGTGCATGCGCAGCTTTCTCTCTGCGGTTCTGCTGATCAATTACACGACAGTGGCCCCCTCTTTGAATCCGGAGGTTTCTGAATCCACCTTCCAGAGTGGAGGTTTTTCGCTGACTGTCCGCTGATAATGTAAACATCTCCCGCTGAGGCTTTGTGTTAAACCACATGCGCACACACACGCGCGGTCGGACAGATGGCATATTTCTATCAACATGGCGGCGGACACAGTGCTTTTTGAGCTACGATTGATGGGATTTTTTTTTTTTATCTCGTAGTTAATCAACGTCAGATTCCAGGTGCTGTGATCAACATTTTTATTAGAAGAGAGACAGTCTGATCCAGTTCTAATGTCGCTGTTTATAGAACGAGGCACGCGCACACGTCGCGCTACACTATAACATAAATGTGCTAAATAACAACAGTTTAATAATAATAAACAGTATTTATATTATTGTGAGTGATATAATGAAGCTTTGAGCTAAATGAAGCTATCTGGACATTATGTAATTCAAATTTAAAATGATGCTAAACATATTGCGTGTTACTAAAGTTGAAAATGATGACATCAGGTTTAATTTTTATTTACTTATTCAACAACACAAACTGTATGTCACACAAACACTGATAATTAAACTGAACACACTATAAAAAACAAGTTAACTAAACTGTAAACTACATTAATGAACTGGACTCTGCTCTGTTTTCATCCTGGAATCTGGTCCCACGTTGTTCATCTGGCTCGTTCAGGCTGTCACTCTGATTAATGCAGCTTAAAATATTGAATGGATTGAATAAAATAACTGCGGGGGATTCTAAATAAATAGTTCATCCAACATCTCTCTCTTCGACGTCCTCCTGCACTGCACCTGGGCCGAGCCACGTTCAGAACTGGTCCGCATGGTGGGAGAACAGCTTCTTCTTTCAGGAAAAATAAAAACTCAGTTGGTTGTTGTGTGATCGAAGTAAACACAAGCAAACATTATTAAGAACATTGATTTACCTGCTATAAATCAGCTACTGATTATCACGGAGTAAAGTCCAACATCGTCGACTCGGTTCTGGTCCACTCAGCGACTGGTGTGGAGCTGAAGCGGTCTCGCTTGGCATCAAATCTGTCGACTCTTATCCAAAATCCAGCTTTAACTTGTTAAATTGTTGTTAGCTGAAGTTTTAGCCCAGAGGAAAGGAGCGTGCCGAGACAGCACGCATGCGCATTAGGTGAAGGTACAAAACTCACAGCGCCATCTAATGACCCGGCATGGTAACTACAGCGGATTCAGTGGGGCTGGGGGGGAGGGATTCCTCCAGATGCATGTAAACACAAAATGCGTCCGTGTCAACGCGGATCTTTTACTCTAATTAACATTCGAAAAAACCTGTTTCCCCCCATCGTGTCAGTGTAAATAGAGCCCGAGAGTCGTTCCAACTAGTGGTGGGAACACATCTAACTTGTTCCACCATCCGAAGAGTTTCCATTCAATAGAATATGCTGAGAGTCAGAAGATGAAGCACAATAAAAGTTTGAGCCAACATGTCCCAATGTTTCAAAGGTGAACATTGATTTATTTGTACAGTTTGTACACTTTTCTGAGGCTTTTATATTGTTTATATCGATATCGGAATTATATCGTTGTTGATCAAAATTAAGAAATATATCGTGATAAAAGTTTTGGCCATATCGTTGAGCCCTAAACACTAATAATGTAAAATAATATGGTATGTTAAACAGCAGCCTGAACATGAGTCTGTAGTGAGCAGAACTGAACTGATAAGGGCCAAAACCCTCAAATGTGTGAGTGATGAAAGACTCTCAGACATACTCCCACCTTTTAGTGTGATCTCCTGCAGGTGAAACACACCATCATGGTAAGCCCCAGAACAGAGGGACCACCACCTCAGTCTGCCAGTCTAATGCCATTGTCCCCAACTTTCTTCAATGTTGCGCAGGCGTTTTATTTAAGGCAGCCCAAAAAATTCAGGACTTTGAAGATCTTAGGAGGAATATTTTTCACCGGTGAAGCTAATGCAGAATTGTTTACCTCAATTGCCTCAGCTTCAGTATCTCAGTCAGTTGTTTCTCAATTCTGCTGCAGCAAGAAGTTATAACTACAGACACTAATTTCTGCTAATAATGATTCTCTGTCCCAGGACAGGAGGCTCCTTTAGGACAAAACTATGAACTATAAGCCTGTCTCTTTGTTTTATTCATATTGCTGTTTGGTATTTTCCTTTGTCTTGAAGTAAATTATTGATTTTATTTTATTTTTGTTTACAGTGTAAAAGTTCAATTGTTTCACATTAAAAAAGTAGTGATTCAAACTTTATTTAATTTATGTTCAGTAAAAGCTTGATAAGATCAGCTGGTTTCTGTAACACGTTCAGAAACAAATATTTTATACAATATTAAAACAAAAATATACTCAAATAGTCACAAATACTTCACTGCAACCCCCTCACCCACCCAAATAAAAAAAATCCAACAAAAAAAAACATGAAATTTTCCATAAAATGTGTTGATTTTTAAGAATGTGCTGAAAATATAAACTCATGTATGTCCTACCTCTGGTCCTGGAGGCCCAGGTGGTCCTTGTGCCCCTATTTCTCCAGGTCTACCCTGAAAATTATAATGATAAAACAGGTAAAAAGGTTTAACATTTAACATGTTTGTTTTATTTGACAAAACAGATAAACCCTCATATTTCAAAATGCTTATCAATGAACATATCTAGAAAAAGATGCAATTCTTTCTAATAAAACGTTACATAAAGAACAGCATAACAAGCCAATACTAATTATAGGATTTATCAAAAAGGAAAGTCTTAATCCCAGTCTTACAACTGGACAATGTGTCAGCCCTATGGGCAGAAACTGGAAGTTGGTTCCACAAGAGAGGAGCCTGATAACTGAAAGATCTTCCTCCCATTCTGCCTCTGGAAACTCGCAAGTAAGCCTGCAGTTTGAGAGCAACGTGCTCTGTTGGGAAAATATGGAACAATAAGATCTGTGATATAAAATGGAGCCAGGTTGTTGAGAGCTTTTTAGGTTAGAAGTCAGATGAATTATGAATTCAGTTCTGGACTTGACAGGGAGCTAATGGAGAGAAGCTAAAACTGGAGATATATGATCTCTCCTACTAACTCCAGTTAAGACTCTGGCAGCGGCATTTTAGATTAACTGAAGACTTTTTAAAGAAGTATTTAGACACCCAGATAACAAACCATTGCAATAGTTGAGTCTAGATGTGACAAATGCCTGAATCAGTTTTTCTGCATCATTTTTAGATAAGATGTTTCTAATTTTACCAATATTACTCAGGTGGAAGAAGGTGGTTTTTGTAACATATTTAATGTGGTTAATGTGTTAATTTACCACATGCAAACATACCAGCGGTCCTGGTTTCCCTCTGGGCCCAGCAGGACCAGATGCACCAACAGCACCCTGAAAGTTAAAGACACAAAACAAAATAATTTCACACACACACGCTTCATATGAGTTATTGCTCTATAGCAGAGAACAAGTCAGGATGTGAATTATCTGATGTCATATAATGATTAATGAATGAACATTTGAATTTATTTGAACGCACATGGCATCTTGGAACATGTTTGGATTAATTTATTGCCTATTTTACAAAAAAAATAAAAAATTCAGAGGTTTTTAAGAGTGATAGAAACGAAAACTCATGTTTACAAAAAAGAAAGATGAACAGAACAAAGTGAAATAGTTGGGGAAGCATCATGTTTGTGCAACAGGTGGCTCACCTTGTCACCTTGATATCCCATCTCCCCTGGATTGCCTCTTTCTCCCACTTCACCCTAGATTTTGTAATATCATACAAAGATATAACAAAAAAAAAAAAAAAACTACCCTGCTAATATGATTATAATACACCAAAAGACCAAAGAAAAACACAACTTCAGCATGGCGTACACAATGAATAAAAATGCAATAAAGAAACTGCTCTGGTTTGATCAAAAGATATAGTACATATATTTTGGGTATAATTATAATCTTTAAGCTTAATAATCAATTTATATAAAAAAATTAAACTGAATAACCCCCAAAATTACTCTGAAAAGTGTTTTGTCATTGAGTGAAAGCAAAAGCCCAAATATATATTTTGAATGTTATAACCTTGAAGAAATTAACATTTACACTCATTATTAATGTCTGCCCTCTGCATTTAAACTGTTGTAGAAGTTGTGTGCTGTGTATCAAAATGTCAACAAGGTTTCTTGTAATTACATCCAGTGTAATTACACGAAGTGCATTAGTGACACATAACACACATATACACTGCAATAATATAAATATTTAGATCACCTTATCACCTTTCAATCCAGGCAGGCCGCCATGTCCTGCTGGGCCCTGCAGCACCAAAAGAGATGGTTGAAGAGAAAGTGGCAAAAAGAAGGAGAGAACATAAAAGATGACACTGTAAGAACAGTTTTCAAATTGTTGATTTGTAATACATTTCTCAGTTACATCAGTTCTCATGTTACATCACCGACTAATATTGTATTTGCATTACACAACTTTGTGTTAAATTTAGACTATTTACTGCAGCCAAGACCTACCTGAGGTCCCGCCATACCAGGCAGTCCTCGTGGTCCCTCTGGGCCTGGGTCCCCCTGTTGAGAGATTAGAGAAGAACACAATGGAATTTGTGTTTCCAACACTCAAAGAGCCAAATGCACAGACTTATGACTCTGGCCCGGGGATATGGCTTTACATTGCATAGAGTTTTTGACTCTGGGTATTTCTGTTCCTATGTGAAAATCTTTTGGCATGAACACATTGTACTTTCCCCCCTTCGCAGATCATTCTTTTATCTTGTAGCCTTTCAACAGAAATAAGACGAGCTAAAGTGTATCCAGTTGTTTTGAACGGCTCTGTTGTCACGTTCACACCTGAAGGGCAACATCACTGTTGAAAGGTAAAAATTTTCAGAAAGTGTTGCTGAAACTCAAATTATTGTTTGCAAGCCGGCAGGGGAGATAATGTACAGACTTTCAGCAGTTCTTAATGTTACTGTAGCAACAATGGTGTGTGCATGTGTGTGTGCGTGCGTGTGTGTGCACCATTTTTTAGGACATATAAATCAAACAATTCACTTTACAATATAGATCCTATTTTTCAAAATGTTGGACATGCTTGTTAAGAAGAAATAATAATAATAATAACAATATGTTTTTTTTTAAATCATACATTTTTGGGAATACTTTTCATTCAACCTTTAGTTATACAGGGTAATCCAATTAAGCCTCAGGGACTCATTTACAAGAAAGACCTGGGTTTAGCAAAGAGTGATGACAATAGCAGACAACAAATACAAGAATAAACAATCATAAAAGAAAGCAAACATTGAGAAGAACAAGTGAAAGAAAATGGTATTAAAATAACAGAACAAAAAACAGCTAGGTTGCAAGGTGATATAGAAAACTAAAAACTGGAACATGTCTGCATTGGTTTTTGCCATTAACGTAGCCATTGTTTAAAGTCACTTAGAGAGGTCAAGGTCGAGAGCTTCAGATTTTTTTGCAAGATATTCCAGGAAACAGGAGCAGAGTAGGAGAAGGCCCTTTTGCCTACTTCAGTCCAAAGTGAGGGAACACTGCAGGTAATAATGTCCTGAAAAAAGTACACTATGGCTGCACTCACGCAGTGACATGTAGGAGGAGATGTATGAAGGCAACAGACCAAGAAGTGATTTAAAAATGAAACTGTATCAATGGGTCGACGTGAATTTAATGATGACCAGTTAACCACAAGGTGCAGTGATGGGTATGATAGTTACAGCAAGTTATGAATTTTAGCACACCATGATAGGCAGCGTCCAACATCTGCAGGGTGCTTGCAGGGGTGTTCATGTAAATAATGTCACCATAGTCAATGGAAGGGAGGAAAGTCACAGTTACAAGAGGTTTCCTAGCATTCAGAGTTAGACAGGATCTGTTTCTGAAAAAGAAACCCAGTTTAACTTGCAGTTTTATTGCCAAGTTTTCCATGTGGAACTTAAAAGAGAGAAGTGAATCGACCAAAATACCCAAATATTTGTATCGACAAACTCAATAGGAGCACCATTCGAGGATATAATCTAGGGAAGAACAGCTGGGACAGACGTCCTGTTTGAAAACAACATCTCTTTGGTTTTGTTGGTGTTTAGGACAAGTTTGAGATGGAACAAATCTCACTTAGCAGGCAAAGACAACTCTAAATTTGGAAACCAGTAATTGTATTTCTTATGATGTTTTGCAAAATTCTCAATGTCATTATCTTCAGGTATTGTTTGTTTATAGGTCTTTAAACGTATTTTCTCAAGAGCAGAAATCCAAGGATTTTAAATTATATAATTTTTTTATAAATTCTAAAAGTATTTCTATTTATATGCATGATGGCATAATGAGTAATTTCACTTCTATTTATTTATTTATTTATTTCCTCTGTTGCTGAGCATAGTACATTCCTTATATACATATAAAACTTACCAACTAATGTGGATGTATATATATATATATATATATATATATATATATATATATATATATATATATATATATATATAACAACATGAATTTCCACTCAGGAGGCTTTTAATGTTGAATTACATTGTGCTCTGTGTTACAGGGACAAAATGTGAATAAAACAAGGACAAACTGTGTACTGTGTGTATATGTGAGTGATGCAGTCCTTTTATGTTCTCACATCTGTGTTACATGTTCTTTACAAACCATAGACAACCATGTGGTGTCAAGTCAAGTCAAATTTAATTATGAAGCTCATTTAAAACAGCAACTGGTACCAAAGTCATTGTACTGGTTCTGACCCAACACATCCGACTGAACTGCATCGTGATTCACTGAATGAAAACAAATAGTTATTGGTTTGACAAAAGAGCTGCTGTGGCTACACATTTAAGGCATCGCAAGCTTGATTTTCTTATATTACGTGTAATAAGCATTACAACTGCCACACTGTCACGTGCTGATTATCCATGCTGCTGATTATCCATGCTGCTGATTATCCATGCTGCTGATTTATGGCTTTTAAGCAGCTATATTCATACCTATCTGCTCACTACAGACACATGTTCAGGCTGCTGCTTAATATATCGTATCATTTTACATTATTAGTGTTTAGCAAATATCTTAGATCCTTGAATACTGTTTATTTTAATACTTTATATTCTTTTAATTTTTATTTTTTGCTATTTTTTGGGTATAAATGGGACCCTGAGTACACAATTTTGTTCCACCTCATGTTCCACATGTGATGCGAATGACAATAAAGATACTTGAACCTATAGAGAATATAAAACTGTCTGCCATCCTTTTATGTATTTTTGTGTCTCACAATGTTCTTCTAACTATGCCAATAAATCCAACACCAAGCTAAATAAACCTGACCCTCAAAACGATGAAAGGTGCTTTAAACAGCTGTATCAGTTTTGCTCACATGAACATCTGGATACTAAGGACTCCTCTGCGAACTAAAACACTTTTTACAATAAAATATGGGAATTTGTTTTGTGAATGGTTTCTCACTGGGGTAAAAGCAAGAACACACAAATGTCTTGTCCAACGTAGGCTTTAGAAAAATTGTAAACACATAAATAAAGTATAGCTACAAATGTCAGACTCACCCTCAAACCAGGAAAACCATTAATGCCAGACCCACCATCAGGGCCCTGTGAAGCATCAGCATCAGCATTTAAGTACACAGAATAAAACAATTACAACACTTTTTAGCATTTAACATCCAGAATGACAAACCATTTTAGTATTTATTGTCTGAAGTACAAGATGGTTCAATAAAAATGATGGCTAAGGAAAAAACTAACAGGTTTGGCATAAAAAGGTTTAAATACATATATATAAAAGCTTGGCAGAATTAAGTATAATACATAAATCTGAGTGAGATTATAATGATTCACTTGCAAATGCTATCATTAAGAAAAATGTACAATTAGAAAGCAGGAACACCCACACTTCTGCATTTGGTGGTAAATTGGCAAGTGCCAGACGGATTTTGGACACAGGTATAATTAGCAGGAGACAGACAAGAGTTCTTACCTGTTTGCCATCTGGACCAGGGGGTCCCCTCTCTCCCACATCACCCACAACACCCTGTGAAGAAAGTAGTAAAACAAAGTAAATTTCTAACTTGACTCAATTTTTTTGGCTTCTATCAAGTTTTTATTTTCTTTGTTAATTCTGGCCTATAATTTTTCTAAGTTAATTTATTAAAGTGTTGCATATTTAAAAAGCTAAATGATATGTATTTAACTAGACATACATGTTTCAATAAAATGTACGTTTTCTTTGATTTTTTTTCTTCTTATAGTAACTACACCTGGAGTAATCTCTCTGTTTCTGAGATTGAATGCTATCTGCTTGTTTCCTCAACTTTATGACTTTTAAAAATGTGCATTTTCTAACGTATGAGAATATTTTGTACAGTGCCCTGAGATGAATTTTGCTGTGAACTGGTGATATATAAATAAACTGAATTGAACACTTAAAATCAAGCAGATGCTTGTTCCTACTTGTCAATTTTAACAGATCAATAAAACAAAAATAATTCTAACTTGTTTTAAAAAGCCTTAGTTTTTACCAATGTCAAGACCCAAAACAAATACTTTAATTATTTTTATCTTAATGCAACACTGTTTTATTTCACTACTGCTCTGAAAAAAATCTGCAAAGCCACAATGTATTTATTTGTTTAAATATTTTATTATGTTTTGTAATGTGTTTGTACGTTTACTTTTTCCTTCTCTGTGTGTTTCATTTAATCTATGTCTATTTCATAATGTGATCTTTGAGCCAATTCCAAACAACAAATTAATTTTCGTGGGCACCTTTGGAGCTTTTTGTGCTGTATAAAGTCCCCCTTTTTTTGAGGATGTAAACGTTCTTATACATAACATTTTTATAAGCAATTAAAATGGATTCATGATTACATGTCTTCCTTTGGGACCAGGTTTTCCAACAGGACCAGGAATTCCCTGAAAAAAAAAGTGTATAGGTTACTCAAAGAGATGTAGATCAACAAACCTAAAAAAAGTTTTTTTAAACTGTGATACAGAGAAAATACAATTATCAAACATGGATTCATCTCAATAAAATTCAGCAAATCCTTAAGTTTAAACAATTATATTAATCCTAATTTGCATTAACCAACCCATCAATAGCCATAGTTTCCAACCTGTATATAATGCATGTTAAATAATGAGCACACATTTAAATAAATAAAAGAGCAATTTTATTACATGTTTGACAAATAGCACAGGTAAAAAAAATAATTAAAAAAATAAATAAATAACACTCACTTTCTCTCCTTCCAGCCCTGGTGGCCCAGCAACACCAGGTGGTCCAATGAAACCCTGAAAATAGGAACGATGACACGCCCATGATAGTTTGAGAATAACAAAAATCTAAGTAGACACATTTTCTTCAGTGGCATTCAGTTTAAAACTGTAGCATTCATCTACATAATATTTCTATTTTTAACATCAATTACTTTTTTTATGACAGCGCTCACTTAGAAACCTTAAATAGTCTTTAAATTTATGCTACACAGCTGCTGTATATCAATTTTTCTTACCTTTGCCAACAAGCAGCATTTATGAGCATTTGGAACTAATTATTTGAACCACATTAGGGCCAACGATACCTTCAGAAGGAACGTCTGAATAAAACGTCCATCTCACAGTTTTTCAGCATTGCATATACAACTAATGATCAAACTTCTGTTGGAGTCTTTCCAAAGTTTGAGGCTTCACAGTGGAAACTATCTAGTTATAAATTACATTTGTTCGAATGTACTCTACTTTGTTTGTTCAAGGTAAATACTTTGAACGACATATTTATGATGGCATCCACCTCCACCTCATAAATATCATACTGTGAGTTCTGATCTGCTGAACCTCTTCAACATGTCCATGATTCCAAGTCAACACTTGTGGATCAAGCTGTTTTTTTAGACAAAAGCTAAAAGCTTTATGGGTCTGCTGATAAGCCCCGTTAAGTACAGCCACTATAAGAAATGTAATGTCTGGTTTCAGCTGCCTTTTTTTCAAACAGCACAGCTGTATCTAAAGCAAAGGTTTCCAAATGTATTAGTTTTTGACTCTCGAAATAGCAATGTATAATACCTGCAACCACAAATACTCTTAGCTGAAATACACAAATGTTGCAAAACAACAACAACAAAAACAGCAAATGACAGCACAAATTAACTTATAATATACTATTTTGCACTCTTTATGACTATTATGGTTATCTTTGATAACAATTATTATGAAAATTTGATCATAGGAATGTTATTTTTTTCTGGAGGTCATTTCAGGACTCCTCTGTCTTCTTCTTTTGGCTTTTTCCTCTTCAGGGGTCGCCACAGCGAGTCATCCTCCTCCATCTCCCTCTGTCCTCTGCATCCTCTGTCCTCACTCCAACTACCTCCATGTCCTCTCCAACTGCATCATATATCTCCTCTTTGTCCTTTTCCTGGCAGCTGCATTTCTAACATCCGTGACCCGCATAGTAGCTGTATGTTTTGTAGTTTTATGCTGTTTTAGTTGTAGTTTTATGTCAACCTGTGTTGCTGCCTGTTGACCAGGTTGTCAGTGTAAATGAGAACTAGTTCTCAATTGACATACCTGGTGAAAAAAAAAAAAAAATAGTTCCAACCCCAACTTTGAAACCACCAACGAAGCACAAAGTCATAAAAAAATTAGGCTACGGATGAAATGGGTCCATAAATAACATGGATCAAATGCTCTAATATTAAGACCCTTTTATATTGTAGTTGTACTTTTTCATGTATACTGTAAGTCATTGTGTACTCCTGCCTCGCCACGTCTCTTTCTCCTATACTTCAACGTTATCAATGCGCTTTCTGTCTCTGTGGCTCCATTTCACCAAGCCGCCCTCAGCCTGACACAATAATCCCAGCTATCCTCTTTCTCCCGGTTTCACATAAAGTCCCTTCTCTCACCAGCTCATTTAACCCCCCTCCTTCTCTCTGCTTTCATACTTTCCCTAATCTGTTTTTCTTCCATCCTCTTCTCTTTCTTCTGTTTTCTTGTTTTGGGGGGCATTCCTTTCTGAAGAATGGACCACAGTGAGGAGAACAAGTCTGCTTTCTAATGTGACGACCCAAAGTCACACCAAAGGGTTCCCCAAGCCTCGTTCTGATCTATGTCTATGGAGCAAAGCTGAAGGCATGTCACTGCATTGGTTCTTTCAGAAACTGAAGTGGTTAATTTAGAAGAAAAAAAAAAGAGACAGAATGAAAGCAGAGAGCTTCTTGTACTCACACGAACACCTTTAGGTCCAGGACTGCCTTGTGGCCCAGATAATCCCTGTAAGAAAGGCATGACTTTGGTGAAGACGAACCGGTTGTTTAATTTTTTTCACATGGGAAGTCAAATCCTCGTATTACTGAATCTAAATGATCTACTAAACATAAATAATTGGCAGCAGAAAACTGATTTAATTCATGGTTGCATTTTTCTGAGCACACCGAATATCTCGGCACAGCAGAGAGCAGATAGTGTCAAACAGGTGTAAGCTTCGTAATGTTCTCAGCAGAGCAACAAAGAATCAAAAACATCTGACGGGGGAACTATTTGTTTTGTGTTTTCACTGCACCTGCCTGCCAGGGTAACCTGTAGCTCCGGCCTCCCCAGGAGGTCCTGGTATGCCCTGCAGCAAAGAGAGAAAAAAGTGAATGAATGATGAATGCAAAGCTTTGGTGGACAGATGAAGTGAAAGAAGAGACTTCTACCAGCTACTGTCTGCAAGAATAAAACATGCACTGTTCATTCCAGACAGCCCAGACTACCGGTACTTACTGTAGCTTACAGCAAACCTGCAACACCCCCCACCCCCCACCACATCACTGTTTCTTTTCTTAAACAGTTTTAATGGGACTATTAGCACTTTGACAAGCTGGAGGGGGATTCCATCAGGGTATAAAAGCTAAACATTGGATAAAAGAACGAGCTGACGTAACTGTGATGAACACAACCTGTGTGAGCTTTGTAAAGCGGTTTGCACGTTTGAGCTAACGTTGAGCATTTCAAGATTCTTTATTTGTTTAGCTCCAGCTTTCAACATTACCAAAATGGAAAGTATGCCAGACTAAAACCTTTCAGTTGAGTTTCACAGCTTGAAACCCTGATTTGGGATATTTCATTCCAGCTAACAGCTTTTGGTGTTCTGTTTTTGAGGAGGCAGGTAGAGTTTAACTGTTTTCAGCAGACGCCTTAATAAAACAAAAGGTGCAATGCTTGCTTTGACAAGAGGTTTTAAAAAGCATGACATTTGTAGGAGGTCTCTATGAACAATTTGTGTTCATTTAAGACTTAAGTTCTTGGTAGAACTCATCAGAGTACCGGTAATCATCTTTCCTGTCTGTGCCAACATTGTGCACAGTTCTTTTTGTCTGACTTCAAAATTGTACAGATTCTACATGGCACTTTGTGTTGACAAGCATCTATTATCTGTTGATAAAGATCATTTTTTGTTTTAGTAACCTGATCACAATGAGACATTTTGTCAAGGTTCTGCATGCCCCTTTATGCAGAACTGGGTTTATGTAAGGTTCCTATACATGTTTAAGGAATTTTGACTGCCGTGTTTAGGAAGTTTCTGCAACGTAACCTCTGGGCAGAGGGAGTGGAGCTTCTTTGTTTCATTAATATTTACCATCGTTGCTTATTAGGCATGCACTGTTGGAATTTTGGCAGCATAAATCTCCTGTTAATGCACATTAACAGCTACTTACTTGTTCCCCTGGTGGGCCGGGTGTACCTGGATAACCTTTGGGACCCTTAAAAGGGAATAAGAAGACATAAGAAGTACAAAGTCAGCAAAGCACTGAAGATGCTTTAAGCAACAGCCTGAGTTTTACATTACACAGTCCATCACTGCGCCAGGTCCCCTGCACGAACTCTACCCCGCACCCAGGCCTCCAGCTATGACCTCCCTCCACCAAGTCTTTCATGTAGGGAGAGTATTATGGGGGTCAGACTCCGGGTTTAGGCTTGGAAGTCGGGGCTAGATGCAAGGTCGAAGGGTGGGGTTATGGTTAGGAAATGGTTTAAAGACAGTCAGAGGGCTAAGTTTAAAGAGAGGGGTCCCAGGTTAAGTTTGGGGTCAGTGGTCAGAAGGTTAGGTTTAAGAAAAGAGGTCTCGAGTTAGGTTTAGGAAAAGGGGTCTTGGATTAGGTTAAGGGTCAAGGGTCAGGGGGTTAGGGTGTAGGAAAAGGGGTCTCGGGTTAGGTTAAGGGTCAAGGGTCAGGGGTTAGGGTGTAGGAAAAGGGGTCTCGGGTTAGGTTTAGAGTCAAGGGTCAGGGGGTTAGGTTTAAGAAAAAGGGTATCAGGTTAGATTAAATGTCAACGGTCAGGGGTTAGGTTTAGGATCAAGGGCCAGTGGGTTAGGTTTAGGGTGAAAGGTCAGTAGGTTAGGTTTAGGAACATTATGGTTTGATTTTATTCCAAAGGCATGAACACAAAAGGAAAAGCTACTTTGTTAAAAATGCTATGACAACCCTTCTTAAGATTTCATAAACGTCTGTGCATGATTTCCCAGTGATGCAGGACGTAACGGATTTTAGAAACATGAATGTCTGCACAATCATGAAAAAAACCTAACAAACTTATTGAATAAATCAATAGCATGTAGGAATGTGCAGAAAGCAAACAGCTTTTAAAAACTTCTTTCAACACTTCCAACAGCTGTGAGTTATTCAGTTGATTGGGAAAACAATGGATTAAAGGAGGTTTTGATAATTCTGGCCTTTTCCAGTAAAAATGAAAGTTTGCACTTTTCCAAATTCAACAGTGAGACAGAGTATTAAAAGCATAACACTGTGTGATGATTAATATGGACATTGTTTTGTTAGGGTTTGTTAAAATGTTTTAGAGGTGGTTTTATTGCTCTTGATTCATGTTTCTTTAGTATTTTCTATGATTTGTGCTTGTTCATCTTAATTCCTAAGCTTGATACAGACCAGGTTCTGGTTAGTTAACCACCACACCTGTTTGTTTCTCCTATTTACTCCCACAGTAATGGTATTGTGGCGGATGTTTTAGTTTTTCTAACGTCCGATCCTCAGTTCTGTTATATCGAGTGTTGATCATATTGAGATTGCTTTCTTTGTTGCATCTATTTAATTAGAGCTTGTTTAAAATTTTAGATTGTTTAAATGTCCTTAAAGTTGCTACATTCTTGGCTTTGTTGTAATTGTAACTTTTTTTTTTTTACTTCTTGGCATCCTCTTCCTTTCCTGCATTCCATTTCATTGCATTTCCTTACTTTTCATCGGATATGTAAACAAACAAATCAGACCCCCCCCCAAAAAAAAATTAGATCAAACTTAAATGAACATATTCTGCAAGAAAATGTCTATTAATTCTAAAGTTTGTTTGTGCACAAAGGACAGATCCAGCACTAAGTTCAACAAGATTTTTATTATTGTTTTATTTTTGTAAATTTAGCAGGAATTATTGTTTAGTATACTAAATCTTTTCTTTACCTAAAAATGATTGTATTCTTTGACATGATTATCAACAACAGATGTCCACAACTGCAGAGGCTGAGGTCACAGACGGGTCAGCGTGTTTCTGGAGTGGTGATACCTTCTTTTAAAGACTGCCTCTGATTTCTGACTTGCTTTTGAGGTTGAGACATATGAACCTTCACATGCAATAAAAAGCCAACATGGGGTTAAAGAGAGTCAAGCCAGTCATTTCCTGAGGGGCACAGTTCACACAGTGGGTGTATTAGGTGTGGGCTTCTGGGAGACAAGGTTAAGGCCAGCTATTTGGATACAATAGATTTAGACAGACTGCTGGGCCAACTGTGAGGACTGAGCTGCACAAGAGTAAAAGACGTCTACTATTCAACCATATTTGGTTACCGACAAAGACTACAGCCTAATGCAGGTCAGTCATGTGACTCAAGCATCCATATGGTTTTCAGTGGATTTAGCTGACTGCTTTGTTTACACTGATTGTGTACCTGCATTTCTAAACTGCATATCATGGAAAACTCCTTAGTAAAGACTCAAATTGCACAATTTTATATAGTTTAGGATATGTGTGTTTTGTTTTTTTAAGATGAAAATGAATGTTCTGTTTGTAAACTTCATTATTGGTCCCATCCATGGATATATTATATTTTTATTCCAGACAAAACAACAAACTTGATCCTACCAGTGGTCCTGGAAATCCCTTTGGTCCAGGTAAACCAGGTGGACCTCGGTCACCCTGATGACATAAATATAAAGAAAATAAAAGAGCATGATTTAGTCTTTACAAATGTCACAGA